AAATTAAATTTTAATTTAACACTACGTCAGAGCAATTTGTTTGCTGTATATGGCAGTTACGTCTCAAACAGTCCGTTTGTATTGATCACTCTCTACATACATACGTTCCCTGTGTGTGTGTGTGCGTAATATGGGATCGCTTCATTTTCAGTTCTGCTGTTGTGAGGTAAAGAGGACCTCTCCCTATAAAAAGACAAATTGGAGAAAAAATAGTTTCTTTATATGCAAACAAATAAGCCAGATCATACAGGTATGCACAAACAAATTAAGCATATGAAACATTATTGTGTCTGCTGAGTTTCCGAGGAAATTTGCAGATTAGCTCAGAATAAGGTTTATATAAAAGTATCTAAAACTCCCTTTTAAGCACAGTTATTATTTTGTGTTTTTAATGGTCTGTGTATGCCCATCTCTTGCAAAGTGCAGGTGAGTAAAATTTTATTTCTTTAAACATGAATGTCGTGTGGTATATTGTGTTGTGTAATGTGTTAAACTTTACCGATGATGAGTACTTATCGCCCTGATGACGGGGGCTTCAAATATATCTAAAACTTAAATAAGGAAATGGCCGTTTTTTACACATCCTGCGCTTATAGCATATAGTTGTGGAACCAAGGGACCCAAATACATAATAATATAATCTGTTTTTAATATAGGTCTGTCGCTTACTCTGTAATACAGTAAGCGAAATGTGAATGCTCATAAATTGTTAGTAACGCTGGGCTAGGTACAGAGTGCATCAACATTCCCACAGTCATGAGAATATTGAATAAAAATATTATGTTGTGCTGAGCGAAATTTTACTTAAATTTTTTCCTGTTAATTCATATTCAATTATATGCATTTTTCAAAATATTATAATATCTGAAATCATGCTTACAGTGACAAATTATTTAAAAGAGAACACGTTTCTATATTAGTAGTTTCCGATCTTGAATAGTTATTTTGGGGAGAATATATCAAGTTCTCTCATTTCATTAATGTTTCAGAGCATTATCCTCTATGATCTAATTTCTTTGGAAAATTTTAAAATTCTTCCACATCGTAACACTAACATTTTTATAAACGATTATTTTATATAATTATCTATGCATATTAACAAATTCCGCATACGTTTGGGAAGCTTTGAACGAGTTGTTGAGGCTCATTATATTCAGTAGATTTTTGAACTACGTTCGAAATTTACTTAAAGCTCAGAATAATGCGCAACTTTATATTCACATGAGATTTTATCGGCCACTGAAGTAACGACTATAATTATTCAACGTTAATGAATCTGTCACGGTGCGCACTCGAATGCCATCGAGCAGTGGACGTTTTTCTTACGTCGTTAGGTAATCTTTTCTCTTCCAGCCATTTATTTATTCAGAAAACTCTACCCTTTCTTGTAAAAACTCTTAATCACGAAGATGTGAATAGATGTATTATTAAATTTAAAATGTATCTTCCTCAGGTATGTGTTCGACAACTGTAGGGATGCATTAAAATCTCATTTATACCTGTCGTTCTCTGAGTATCAGCGTCATCACTGTTTATATAGTATAATTCACTTGCTAGGACACTCGAATCCATTTCCACTTGTACAAAAATATATATAGTTTAACACAGTCACATATTCTAATGCATTTATGTAACATGATATATATGTGTATATATATATATATAAAGTGTTTCTGAGTGATATTTGGATGAAGGATATTTTTAAAACAAAATGCGTTAAGTAATGTCAGAAAGATTTTACGTTTCCACGTTGGCAATTCAGAAGATGGCTGTCTTCTTGGTTGTTGCACCTTGTAGTCTGGTAGAAGCTTATCGACGTTTCAGAGGTCCTTGCTCCTGAATTATAAGAGCAATTATCGTCCAAATGGTAGAGGTACGAAGCATATCTGACACGTCCTTTAACATCTAGCACACTACACGGCGCTTCATGATGGAGGCAGCAAGAACCTCTGAAACGTTGGAAAACGTTTCTCAGACCACATGGCGCTACAACCTAAAAGAAAGCCATTTTCTAACTAAATAAGAAAGTTCATAAAACAGAGTTCTTTAGAAAGTAATAGTCGCTTAGCTGATGAGAAAATCCTCTGACTCTTATGGAACACGGCTGTTCTGATTATGTTCTCAAGAAATCGCCATTTATCCTTATGCACAAGAATTAAGTCCATATTGTGCATCATATTTACATAAAGTTAATTTTGATACCAGTGTCCCATTTTTACTAGATTTCTCAAGTAATACCTGTAGTTAAGTTTTTTCGACTAAATTCCTGTATTATTTCTGATCTAATGCATGCTACATATCCTGATCATACCACAATCCAAGATTTCTCACCCCGGTAATATCTGATGTGTGACACAAATTACGATCTCTTCATTGTGCTGTTCTGTTCAACCTGTTTTTATATTTACCTTATTGGTGCAAACATTGTCTTCAATATGCATTTCTCAAATATTCTTAATTAGAGTTTCACTGTTAATATGAAGCAATAATTTAATTAATTTATAATGTTCGCTGTTTGAAGCCGAGACTAATCTAAATGTGGTTTAAAAATTCAATCCTTGTCAGAAAAACAAATCTCTATTGCAAATATCAATTGGTTAATGCTGTTTAGGGGTATAATCGCAGTTTATTATTGAAATCATATAAATAACATACATGCACTTTTGGAACAATGGAAGTTTTATAGTAAAATGAAAGCAGATGGTATATATGGTTACCACTGAGCTTTAAAATGTTAACGCCATGTGTAAATAGGTAAATAATTAATAGTTCTACCACCCATTTTATGTAAAAGACTAACTCTGTTAAAACGGTATATAGGATTTCTCCGTAATTTCCATTTCATGTAACATAAACTGGGAAAAGCTATTCAGACTTCCTTATTTATTGCATGTAATAGTTCATAACATTGGTAATCTTAGGTCGCTATATGAGAAATATAAATTTTGAATACGCTATTATAAATCATACAGATATATTTCATATTATCCGATAAAAGTGTCTAATTTTCAGACTGCAATGTTCAGATATCGATAAATGTAGGCTGTTCATTCTTATCGATTAACTAAAATTATGCACTTTCGGCAACAGGACATTTCCGCTTTCAGCATGTTATTCACTTACAAACGATACTATTAAACGTTGAGTTTACCCCAGCAGCACTTTACATTTTTTTTTGTTGCTTATAAATATAACGTTAAAAATATTTTTTTTAATTGGGCACGTGTATGTGGAGTTTTTGTCACTACTAAATTTTAATATTGTAAACGATCTATCTTCTTACAATCACGTGCAGTGGAAGTCATTGTCATCATCACAGATTCCTCTTCCTATTTTCCCGTTAGGAGGTTTAAACACGTTGCATCTCTTTGTCCGACACTATGGCATCTTATGCCCTTCGGGTTTTTTCACAAACAGTTTCTGAAAATGGTCTTCAGGCAGCTACTTATGTTTGTGTGTTTTTATTTTTACATATCTGTACAACAGTACAATAGCAAAATAAACTATTTCCTTAATGAAACGTGACAAATTCTCCTCTCAAATCTGTGAGGAAAATATCCCACGTTTTAATGACATTCTGTCCGCGGGATGCCCATTTATCACAGTAAGGATGAATACCGTGGTCTCTTCCTAACATGACGTGTGTCTCAGAGCTGACGTCATTTCTCAGCTGCCACCCCCTGCTGCGTTTAATCATATTCCTCTTCCCTGTTAGGAAACGGTTTCGTAATACTGGTTTCCATCCTACAGTGCCCCTTCTCACGCGATGTCTGATTTCTTACACTGACGCCAATACCTGAAATATTTTTGATGTGGTTTCCAGCTTACTTCAAGACGGGCATATAAATGCATTTATGTCTTACGTTAGGGCTGATATCGTTCATGAAATTAACAATTTATGTTTTTTTTCCCCAAAATATTACACAAAAGAAGACGCTGAAACGAAGAGACCTGTAAAGTTGTCTACCCGCACATTTCACCTCCATTATCAGCGAAAGAATAGTCAGTTAAATGTAATTTCGGTGGATATACGCTGTCAGGTTCTGCGTGGATTTAATTTTCCTTCGTATCGGTCCAACGTAACCCCTAATTTACATTAAATTCAAATTGAACTTTGTCGATATTAAATACAAAAGAAGCTTTTCATACAAATAATAATACTACTGCTTGTTGAAGATATAAATGTCATTAACTATAACGCTTTTATAAAACGTGTTTCTATTTTGTGAATAATTAAAAAAGCAAATACACAAGTGTCATATCTGTTATGTCATTAGCCTTGATTAAACAGATTTGTACCTACGGAAATAAAATTCAAGGCCTAAGAACTCAGTAAAAAAGATACGTGTACTCAAGTAAAATATATACGTATTTACACTTCAATATGTGTGAATGACATGTTATTGGCATCCACCTCACGTTTGTGCTTACTTATTACTTAAAAATAAGAATAAAGTGTCACCCTCGAGAACGAGAACGGGATGTTTCGTAAGAAAAATTCAGCGGCCATGTCTCTCCTAATTCTCTACTAAATGTCTGTAGCAGACAAAATCAGAATTGAGTAAAAATTGTACAGAGACAGTGGTCTGGTCATACACTACTCGCAAATGCATACTTTGAGGACTAAGAAACCCCCGAAAGGAAGGGCCCAAGACTCACAATGGGTTGTAGAACCACGGATAGAAGAAGACATGACAAGTTGTTTTAGACCTACGAAATTATGACCTTTAACATATTCTGCACCCAGTGTTAGGATCATATTAAAGGTCCATGCCATCATAAATGTTTCATAACATTCGTACATGGGCACGGTCTTATTTAAAAATTACATAAACTTATTGACTGGGTCCGGTGGAGGGCTTTGGTTAATTCGGTGATGAAGCTTCCGGTTCGTTAAACCATCTAGATAGTTACATAAGCTTATTGTTGATTTCTTTATTTAATGTCCACGATTATGGCATCAGTTTATTTATCTGTACTTTATTTCATGGCATTTTCAGTTTCTGGACTGTATAACGTCGGATGAGAGGATGGCAGTGAGTACTGAAGTGGAAGGAAGCGATCGTGGTCTATTTTAAGGTGCTATCCCGGTATTTGCCCGGAGTGACTGAGAAATCTGTGTCAGTTTAACCGGCTTCCAGGCCGTGATCTGAACTCGGACAACAAGAATACAAAACAGGGGAGGTACATACTCAACTTCGACCTTCGGTTATGTTATTAAATTTGACAAACAAAAATATCACTGTATGTTTAATAATGTGTTATCGAACAATATTATATTTAAAAATGACAAATGTGGACAGTGCTCTAGTATTTGACATTAGATTGATTTTATTTGAGATGAGCTTTTAATGGCCATATATCGATTTAAGTCTGCTCTTTTTAAGCCGCGTAGATTTGTGACCAGCTACTATATTATACGTTGTCACGACCCAGAAGATCGTCAACAAAGTAAATAGATTTTAGTGTCTGTATGCGTGCGTAAAGACACAAAACACAGCACGTACTCATAAACGCACGCAAACTCGCACGCTCACACACTCATACTCCTATACGCACGTGCGCATGCAAGCACACACACATATACAGACTAAAATTTTATTAGGCCAAACTCTTGAATAAAGCCACCTTTTATTCTTCACTCTGATGAACACTTACTCCCTTCAATTGTATGTTTAATTACAATGTGGCAGTAATTAAATTTTTAAGAGAGTAATTAAATATAGGCCTATTAAAATTTCTTAATAAATGAGTGAAAATGTGTGTTTTCATATCATACGTCTGTGTTATGATATTTAGTACAGTTCCAACTGCAGTATTAACTACATTGTCTCTTATTTAATTAAAACGTTCCGTCCCGTTCTATTTAGATACACATCCCTTTTGATTTCTGAATGTATGCGTTTAATCTCTTTTTGTTGCAACGAAAATGAAAAATAAATAAATGTGCTCTTTTAGCAAATAGCACGATTATGTAAAATTAATTTTATCTAAAACGTTTTTTCTCTTTGTTTTAATGCAGCAAGCATTATTCCTGCGTAGTATGCAAGTGCCTGGAATATAATCAAAATATACACGATGTGAGCAGCCTGTTTATGGTTTTGAGACCCTCACTCATTGATGACATGAATAAAAATATTGAATATGGCATAAATAATACTTGTTGGACAGACTGCAAATTCAATTCAATTTTAAAATGGTAAACGATTAAATACTCATTTCAACAATAAAATTTAAATTGGATTGCACTTTAGCATCATCGATTGGACCAGTTTGAGAGGGATGAAGTATTGAATACAAAAGTCGTTATTTACTAAAATGGCTTTTACTTTATTAGAACAAGGAAACGTGAAGATGGAGACAGTATGTTTCTTCAAGACGTTGGTATCTATAGGTCGCGCGAGAAGTGCTGCCACTTGCGCAAAGGACTGATTTTGGTCGTAGAGATGGACCCGTCCAAAGAACGCGCTAGAGGGGTGTCAGCTTCAGTTGGTTTGTAGTTCTAGCTGTGTTTAGATCTGTGCGACCCCACTACTACTGAACTCCCCTCTCTCGGCCTACACATCGCGCATTTAGGTGCCACCATTACTCGCGCGACCTATACCTACAACTCTTGACCCTGAACAACATCGTCATGTGGATATTATAGGCCTCTTATCAGGTTTATTTCTTGACACTACCTTTAAGATATTTGGAAATATTACGAGATACGGTAAGATAAACATGTCGTAGAAAGGAAACACTTTTACAATTTTAATTATGGAAATTACAAAGTAAAACTCGTGTAACTTTGAAACTTGTTACTTAATCTGTTGCTCTCACCTAATTTTATATGTTGCTGTTTTCTTAATACCGATGTGAACTTGATGGTATCTCCTCGTATGAGTTACGTACTAGCGTTGCAGTCGTGCCTGATACGTGGCATTTACTTTTAACTATCTCGGAAAGTGTATTATGTACCGGAATACATGTAATACCCTCATGCGTTCTTTGCATCATGCATTTAGGGGTATTAAATCCGCCTTGTTTCACAGTTCCCACTCTGGCCACAAGATCGAAGCACTTTAATGCCTACATCATGACTTTTCTCATCCGTCATTTTATCACCGCTCGTAGGATATTCAAAAGTACGATTTTGAGGTCGTGTAGAATATCACAAACTCCATATCATATTACACCAAAATCCTTCCAATGCTTCTCGAGTTGAATCGACTGAACGGGCGGACAGACACGACGAGCCCATAATGGATTCTCGCTATACAATTTATATTCTTCGTCTACATCACGTGTTCGTATTTTGGTCCGGTTACAAGGGTTAAAATGGTTTTTCAGTTTTCTTTTCGGTTCGTTATTTTAAAGTAATTTAAGAGTTTAGTTTACAGGAATTATTTTCAGACATTCTAGCTATTTACTTCGGCAGTTTTATAGTTGTATTCTATTATTTTTAGTTCCTCATCGCCCTGATCATGGAGGCAATAGGGATCTCTGGATCGTCTTTAAACTTCTACTAGTTTATACGGCGCATTAACCCAGAAGTCAGCAATCTTCCTCCTCTCAAATAGGTTCATTACCGATGCGTTTAAGATATGGCATTTCGAATCCTGTGGGGTACTCTGGGGAAAGTATTTCTACTGTCACCATTGTTCTCAGTGTTCTTTCGTTCATGTCCAGCACAAATATCCATATAAAGCACATCTGTTGATGTTGCTCTGTGGCATTTTAAGGTTTGCTATTCTTGAAACGCATTGTATTCGATTTCAGTTTGGCATTATTTTCTGTTCAAATAGGACTTACCGCAGTATAAATTGCTCAGTTTTTCGAAAGGTGTTTATTGTTCAAAAGAATTTACGTTCTCGTAGATTCTATTTCTCTAAATGAAACTTAATATTTCGTTTTTAGCCTATACTCTTCATGTTTAATTAATTAATTGCATAGGGCATTTTTTCGCTAGAGCAAATTATGTTCTGATTATCAACACATAGATGTGTACCCATATGAATATACTGTAATTTATATGACAATGTTCTGATTATCCTGTCTGCCGTTTTTCAACAACGTCGAAAATAAATATTAAATTTTGAAATAAGAATGTAAATTATAAATTACGATTTTGACATCTTACACGCAGACAAACGTTACAAGACAGACAAATGAACAAATAAAGTCAAAAGCTTAAAGTTCTGACTATACTGTCCATGTTAACAAACATCACTTTTCTCCCGAAAGATGATCATTCTTCCCGTCAACAACTTTCCTCGCGAGTTCGTTGCTGTCCTTGAACACAGGAACATCTTGTCAGGACACTACCGCAGTAATATTCCTTCATTTGGATGCTAATATCTGAGAACAGAATGAAATGAACAGGTTTTTTGTGATAAATTGGCTTCAAAGGAACGGAGCGGTAAAGCCAGTGTGACGTGGATACGCCACTCTAGACGTAATTACTTGTCATGCGTGTTCAGTTATATACATTCTCGCCTTATCAAATCTCTGTGTGTCCTGTAGTGATGCTATGCGCTTTACAGGCGTTACGAGTAGCATTGATGTAACACCACGCAAACTATTGTTTTCGATATGGCACATTCACACGGCTCTGATGAAACCTCGATTGGTCCGCAGTGAATGCTGGTTCTGGCTGCATAACGTAATACATCGCATCTTGTTTCATTTATGAACTACATGGAACAGTTCTTGAGAATCTAGTAATCGTTCAGCTGATAAGAATATTTTCTCGCATGTAATGGAATCCGAAAATCCGTTACCGCGTTCGCAAAACCCCAATTATGTTTCAGCAATTTGAATCCAGTCTAAACCCTGAAGCATTATTTCAAAAGGTTTATATTTATAAAAACTAGAGAATCAATAATGTCAAGAAGATTTATCTTTGAGGATAATAAAAAAGGTAATCTTGTGAGTCATTCCGTGTATATGTCAGCACGAACAATCTCCCGCAGAAACGTGTTTCCTGTGCTTTTTCTTGCCCTAAAACACGATGAGCTACGAACAGGAAAGTTCGATCACAATTTACATCGCATAAAAAATAAAAGTTTGTAAACTTGTACAGAATAAGGTCTGTATAGTTGAACTAATTTGTGTAAGAGTAGTATGTGTTTGAAGATTGCACACACGTCGGCTCCCAGTTGCAGAAGTGTCGTCTGGACGTTGAATTTATCATATTTTAGTAGTAACAGAACATCTGTGAAACGAAGCCCACTCGTGTTAGTTTTCTTGTTTACTGAGTGAATAAATGAATACGAAATTAGATCGTGTGACAGATTGAGTAGACGGAAAGAAGAAGAGTGGTATGATAAATATTTAAGCACTCAAAAAAACAACCATCTGTAGTTTACATTGCAAGATTTGAGGTTCTCACGACGGTGAGGATGACGATGGCTGACATCAAGATTGTCGCGTCGTATAGCCTGGTAAAATTTACAGACGTTTGAGAGGTGCTTGCCTTTATGATGATGGAAGACAAGATTCTGAACTGAATGAAACGTACAAAATGTAGTCTGGTAGCTACTATTACGCAAATTTAATTTTCAAATACGATTAAGTAAAGTAAACTAAAGCTGTCCCTCTATACTCCATGTAGGCGCTTGGGGGGAGTGGTGATATAGCTCCTACTCATTCTTAACCTCGGCACTAGATGGGAGTCAGTGGTCAGCGTAACGCCAGGCCTCGCTTAACCCCGGGAAAGGACCCCGGTACCCACTGGATGGGAGCCTGGGTTAGCCACAGAACCGGTCTGGACGCAGAAGCTAAAGGGAAAATCCTCTGCCCTCTCCCCGTCGGGGATCGAACCAAGGTCGTCCAGTCCGTAGCCGGCCTACTTTTGAAGACTAAATTAGCCATCATTGTAATATGGTATTGCCATATTTTAAACAAAATCGGATTCTCCTATCGTTTATATAATAGATTATTTTAAAGTTCCATGTATATTACCAACTGTTATAGTACATTAGCTTATTAAATGATATTCTGTAACACACCGTGTGTGTGTGTGTGTGTGTGTGTGTCTTCAAAACATTAAACTTTAGTGGTAATAATTTGCTGATGTGAAGGAAAATGAGAAATTTGTAGAAAGAGACAAGCTGTACCTCTGTAGGTAAAACAAAGTTTGCGGTCAGGCCTCAAATTGGGCATCTGCATTTAAATAGAGAATGTCCTTTGATTTATCCCCTGAAGCTAACAATACATTAACGTTTATCTCTTCTGCAGAAAGAACAGATTGTACCTATTTGCGTTTTATTTTCACACATGAGAGGAAAAATGGCTGTCACATTTAATGCAATATTGTAGATATACATATATATATATATATATATCATGTCTGTTTCCCTGTACACGAACTCTTGACAGTTTTGGATAGTTCAATAGGGAGGAGGCGCTAAAGGCTTTGTATGGAGGGTGTCTCCACCCACTCTTGTTCTTCCTTTTTCGCGACCAAGCATGCAATCTGGATGAGCCATGGCGTGACAATAGATTGGGGCTTGGGTGAAATGTTCGTTCCATTCTCTTGCACGCATTTCCTTCCCTTCCCACGTTTTCCTCAACGTCACTTCACCGTGCCTGTGACCACCCTTTCTATAGTGACCAGGTTCTGGTATAGTTCCTCAGAGCTCGCTGGCCACTTTAACTCTTTCCTTATTCAGTCATGCGCAGTGTCCAGTCTGAAAGCTTTAGAAATACATAAAACTCAATTTCCTTTGTTTGAACCTCTATGGAATTACAATGAAAGCTGTGAGTATATTCGATAAAGGCAAAGATCCGCCGCTGTCACTGAACTCATATTTTATTTCCCTTTTCTTCGTGGAGAATTCTGAACAGAGAAATGTTTGTGGTCGAAAGGTCAGTTTGATGAGCAATACAAAAACTG